GTATAATACAGTAGTCGTCGTTTATACAAATCAATAAAGACGACTTTCGATTTAAATTTTGATTTCATTCCAATCTTTCAAATAGCATGGATACACATAAACATGGGAAACAAAGAGAAGCGACAATAAACAGCTTCTCATGTATACTTGTAAACTTTAAATTAAATTCAAAAGTCGTCTTTATGATATTGATATAAACGCATCTTACCTTATTGTGATGATAACTTGTATCATGTTTTACAATTGAATAAAAATCTTATGCAGAGTTTTTGAATGATGAAAACACTATTCCATAATTGTTCAGGATCTCCGTGAATTTCTATGGCTGTCAAGGGCATCCCGCCTTCTTGTCATTGATTTTACCTTGTACAACGCTAACGTCAACTTCTTCTCTGTGGTCAAATTTGTTTTTGAATTTCCACCAACAGGAGGAATTATTGGTAAAATGGACGTGAGGACAATTCAGGTTTGTTCAAATTAGAGATGGGCGTGTTCGGTTTGTATTCTTATTATTTGCTCAGATCGTCCGCTCATGGTAAACAACCCATTTCGTTCTTTTTTAAAAAATATTTTGGAAAATTCGTACTTTTTTTTTAAAAAAGGGTTGTTTTCAATTTTCATTAGTTCCTCCATCGTTTGTTTTTCTCATTTTCTTACCCATTTATATGGAAATTTTTAAATAAAGAATGAATTTAATCTATACAGACATTTAAAGAAGACTGACATTGACGCAAACGTGTGCAAAAAAAACCACTTTTGTTATTTAAAAAAATAATTTCTTTTTGTCTAGCTGCTGCACCGAGTAAACCCAGGGGATTATTTTGTGTTTGGAGTTCAACTCGTGTTTGCTTGCCTTGTCTTCTACTATATTATTGAAGAAATATTGGAAATATCGTAAGTTGTCTTCTACTATATTATTGAAGAAATATTGGAAATATCGTAAGTTGTCTTCTACTATACTATTGAAGAAATATTGGAAATATCGTAAGTTGTCTTCTACTATATCATTTAAGAAATATTGGAAATATCGTAAGTTGTCTTCTACTATATCATTTAAGAAATATTGGAAATATCGTAAGTTGTCTTCTATATATATTATCTATCTTCTATCTATCTTCTATATATATTTCTTCTACTATATTATTGAAGAAATATTGGAAATATCGTAAGTTGTCTTCGACTATACAATTGAAGAAATATTGGAAATATTGGAAATTTGTCTTTGCAATGCTAATTTTTAAAAAATCATTTTCAAATCAAGGTCAAACCTTTGTAGCTCTAGCTACAAGAAAATACAAAAAAAAAGAATTTAAAATGTTTAGGTCAAAAAATATAAATAAAATTTCCGAGCATATACAATAGTTAAGTAAAATAAAAAAATCTTCTTATAATTAAAATTTATTCTAATAGTAAGTAGTAAAGGAATGGCGCTTACATTAGCTTTATATCTTAACTAACAATAAAAGTTTTTGCCAATTGGGACGAAAATTGGCTCAAGGCCGGAATTTTAGAAGGACAGAGAATTATGGATTTAAAGTTTTCTCATGATATGCTAGCTGTTTGCCAAATTGAAAGAAAATCCATGACATTGATTTGCATGATTTCCAAAATCTGTTTATAAAAAATGACCCAAAAGTAAAATTTTAAGCGATCGATACCGAATTCTATTCAATATCAGCATATACCCCCTTTAATTTTTCCAACACCGCCTTTAATATTCATTATTAAAAAACTCCAACTTTATAATTAATATATTTAGAAAGAGGAAATCTGAGTATTTCAAGAATGCTTGGAACATAATGGATCTAATTCTTCTTATGGTTTCTATATTCTATATTGCTGTTAATGTTTATGTAGAACTAGTAGTTGGAAGCTTACTACAGGTCTGCAAATCTTTAAATTATTCTTTTTTCATTTTTATTGTCACAATATTTTGGTTTTTAAATATTCATAGTTCTAAAATTAAAAATTACATAATATAATTTTATGAAAATATTATGAATTTACATTTTATATAATTTTAAATATTTACCTTTTCTCCAATAACAATTATTTTCATCCTTTCAAATTAAGGAGTGTTTAACAAAACATGACAGTCGAAAGAGATGACTTAACCCTATTCCTAATGGGGGGGGGGNAGTTAGAGGCTGTTGTAATTTTTTTTATTTTTCCAACACCTGCTCCTGACTTTAGGCCAACAGCTGGGCATTTTTGTACCCACTGCCGGAGTCCTCTCAGTCCGATACACTGCCCGAATGCTTAATTTTACCTATACTGAGTTTAACACTAAAGATTGCGCAAAATTTATGGTATATAACTTAAGCTATATAGCTTAAAAGTTCTTTAAAATAATGAGTTGCTACTTAAATATTCAACTTTCTCAATATAACCCTAAAGGGAAATTTTAATTTCCCGGGAAAAATCTTAACCAATCAGAGAAAAGGATTTCCGATCGTAAAAAAAAAAAGTTTTTGCCGTTCATTCATGGATTCTTCCGTTAATTTTAGAAAACAACGGAATATTGCCCAGCATTCAGCTCCCGTCAATAACCAGTTATGCCATATGAGGACTTAGAGTGTTTATGGCTATGAAGACGACATTTTTAGTACATTAAGGCACATTCCAAGTATCTAACTTTATTATGTAACCCTTGTTTTTGCCTTGCTTTAACCTTATTATGTAAACCTTGTTTTTGCCTTGCTTTAACTTTATTATGTAATCCTGTGTTTAGCCCCTGCTGGCCCAGCCTGAGACCTTTGGTAATTTTGATGGTATTAGCTGGTGGAATGAGCTGGTTAATATTATATTTGCTATAAACGTTTTCTTCTGCTGGCTCAAGATCTTCAAGTATATTACATTTAACAGGACTATGGTTCAACTCCAGGATACCCTGGCTAGGTCAGTACAAAACTAGAGATGGGCATCATTTTTGGGAACGGACGATATTTTCGAGAACAAAAAAACTAACAACAAACGAACTTAGATCGTGTCAAGAAATGAAAAACTATAGTTTTTTCAAAACAGCTAAAAAAAGAACATGTTTTTTAGTAAACAAATGTTTTTTTTCAAGCAAACTTTTGAAAAAACGATAATTTTTTTCTGAACTTTTTTTGACATTTTCTAATACTCAAATTATAAAGATTTTGATCCTTTGTATGAAGTTTATTTGGAGATTGAAAAGTACCTGCAAAAAAGGAGGAAGGCCAGCCACAACAATTGCTCCTCCGAGCCACATTCTCCTCTTTTTATGGTCCGAGCCACCTTCAAAAATTTTTATTAAGATGTGCCCCGGATGTGTTGGCTTTCCTGTTTATGTTCCAAATCATTTTCATGGCTTTTGCCCAGTTTGCGAACCTGATTTTTGGCACAAAACTGGAATATTTTGCAGATGTTATGCACTCAGCGTAAGTATTGATTTGTAAATTCTGTCGTCTAAGAAATACGATTGATAAGATATTTTTAAAAATATTAATTTTTTTAAAATATTCTTTTTAATAGTTTGAAAAAGCAGGGTTGTTTACCAATACAATATTGTATTTAAAAGTTTGAACAAGGGGGTTAAAAGTTTAATTGATTGGATTAGGTTTATAATATGTTATTTTAAGTTTGATTAAAACTTTTGCTTTAACCCTTTTCGATTTAAAGAAGAATTACTAATCTAGAATGACGTTGATGCGTGCTATGCTGGGAGATTTTGATTTTATCGCTTTACAAGGAGCTCATTATATTCTTGGACCTGGATTCTTCTTCTTCTACATCTTCATCGTTTTCTTCATCCTTCTCAACATGTTCCTCGCCATCATCAACGATACATACAGCGAGGTCAAGGCAGAGATGGAGGAGACAAAGGTTATACAAATGAGTTTTTGTCACAAACTCAATATTTCTAATTTTGCAACCTGATGGTGTGTTAACCTTTGATTTTTTATAGAGAGTATAACCTATAATATTTCTAATTTTGCAACCTGATGGTGTTAACCTTTGGTTTTTCAAACTTAGATTATTATTTCATAGTTTAAAATAACTAAAATCTACGAGATTGGGTTCAAAGATATAGTAATTAGAAAACCAGTAATTATGGCAAAAACTCAATTCTTCAATTGATTACGTGAATCAAACTCTGATTTTTTAATTAATATCTTTCATATTTTAATCTTAGATCTAAGTAGCAAAATTTCAGAACTAAAAATTTAAAAAAAAAAAAACATGTCAACGTCATCAGGTTGCAAGGATTATACAATTAAAACGAGTATACTTCGTACTTTAAAACTGTTGCTGTTCTTGAATTACTTAGTTTAATTTGTTTGGCTCGCAACAAAATATGACTTGTCTAGTAAGCTAAAAAGTGCTAAAAAACAGAAAAAATGTGAAAATTATATTATTTGTGATCTAAAAAATTATTTTCAATTTGCTAGAATTTTGATATTTTAGGTTCAATTTGAGATTTCTGATTTCTTCATGAGGGGATACAATAACATAATTGGATCTGTTGCTATGCGTGATAAGATGATTGATATTGAGAATGCTATAAAGCTTGCAAACTCAGATGGAGTTGTTACTTATGAAGAGCTTCGTGCAGATTTGAAAAGGTAAGTCTAAGAATTTGTTTTTCTTAAATCGCTTCAAGATGACTTAATACGTTAGAATGGCTCAAACTTACTTTTCCCATCTTCCTAATTGAAGACAAAAAATGAGTTTTTACCACAAAATTTAATTTTCTCACCTCTATATCTTTACAACCTGATGTGTATACCTTTGCTATTGTAAACTGAGATTTTTTTATCTAAAAGTAACAGAACTCACAATTTGAAATAGCAACGATCCAAGACAAAATGGATTCCAAAGATAAAAGGATTAGAAAGTCAGAGTTTGTGGCAAAGACTAAATTCCTTTAGCAAAACACACACAAATATTAGTTTTGTTAAAATAAAATAAAAATATTTTTATACATTTTTCCGACAAACATTTGATTTTAGCACTAGCACCCTAACTTTTAACGTCTAATTTTAATGAGCTGACCTGAAAAAGTTGGTATAGGAATATGTGTCACACTTATCTCTATCAGGAAAAAATCATCTATATTAGACAAAAAATGCCCAACTGGGATAGGGTTAAGCTTAATTTTAATCTATATCTCAATTTTGATCTTTGATTCTGGCAAAAACAATGCATAGATGATTTCAAGGATGTACGGGGGGAGGAAGACTTAAGCCGCCCTAATTACCAGATTAAGTTCTGCGTTGAAGCATTTTTCGAAGTGTCTTCTTTATAAACGAAATACTATCTGAAGTCTCATCCTCTGACTGACCTCTAAAACCAATAATTGTTTTAGGTGTGATTTCTCGAGTGCAGAGATAGAGCTGTTCTTCAGCAGGATGGATGCTAACGGAGATGGTATTCTTGATGTCCAGGAGAGCGGGGATGCTGTGGAGGAGTTGAATGTGAGTTCTGACGAAGAAGAGGAGGGACCAGAGTAAGATTTTCATAGTTGTTAACGATCAACAATCGTTAACAAACAACCATTGTTAATTTAAAAAAACATATAATTTACAACGACCAACCATCATTAAAAATTAGTCCAAAAAATAAAATGCAGGACAAAAAATTAAAATTGCTATCATTTATTTTTAGTTATTCTTTTTTTCGTAAAATCTACAAAAAGGAAAAAAATTTAAAGAAAAAAAATTAAATTCTGAAAATCTGTTGTTTAAACATTTCAACTATAAATACTTAATAATGATTTTTTTAGTGGTGTAAGAAAGAAAGATTTGGCTCAACTTGTAACTAACCGAGAGTTTGATCTGTAAGTTTAATTAAGAAGTGTTTAATGTTATTTTTGTATATGTCTTTCAAGTATATTTCAGACGAGGTTTCTATAAGTGTGCTTCGCGCCTATCCTCGTTTTAACTTTCTATTGTTGCTATATCTGTGGCTGTTTTTCTTCTAAAATTAAACTAACGCATGATAAAAAATTTTCACGGATTTTACTATTTTCACTCGTGGATTTATAAAAATCTAAATATCCTTGAACCTACTTTGGGGTCGTGTGAGGTCCCAAAACCAGAAGACCAACAAAATATGTATTTAAAAATGTTTAATATAAACAATAATACGAAGATATATGCGATCAGACTAACAAAACTATTTAGAAATTTTTATCTTATTTAGTTTGGAAAGAAAAGTGGAGAAGCTTGAATACTCAATTGGATCTGTAATAACAAAGGTTAGAATTTGTTCTAGAAGGATAAACAAATTTAAGCATCTTACATTTTTATATAATAAATCGTCTTGAATTTTTCCAAAACTTTAGCTCGTACCACTCCTCAAAAAAAGAAACAAAAGTTAAAAATTGAAAAATCCATTAATTAATGGATCATATTTTTTTCGCATTTTATATAACTTTAAACAAAATATTCACAGTTTTAACTTTTAAAAGAAACCAAGAATTTTGAAATAGATTGATTCTGTGCTGGGGCAGTTGGCAAATATGGAGAATAAGAGACAGGCCCAACCTGTAGGCGAGGTAACCTAATAAAGTTATAAATAATCAATTTTAGTAAAATTGTATTCTGCTTTGAAAGTTTTGATACTTTTATTTTACGAACAGTTCAGGATTTTTTTTTATTTAAAGCACTTAGGAATTTGGTCACTTTTTAAAATTTATAAATCTTAATATCTTTGCATCCCAAAATGTAGTTTAACCTTAAAGATTTCAAACTTAGAACTCTGTTAGATCAAATGATCTAAATTTGAGATTAGCTTGCACCATCAAGTTGCAAAAATATAGGAATAAATCAATTCAGTTATGGGCAAAGACTCAATTCCTGTATTATAGTACATGAAGCACTTAAATTCCTAAAGCTTAAAATTTCAAAAACTGCAAATCAAACTTGCAATTGCATGCATTTGGGTTTTAACCATTTAAAAATGTTCCAAGTCAGGATTTTTTTAACAAGAGAGAGAGAGAGAGAGATGGTTAAACTAGCATTAGTCAAGATAAACTTGAACCGAAGCCTCTCACTGCCATCCAGAAAGGTTTTCTAAACATGTTTAATTGTTCCTAAACTGTTGTAGGATGCTGGAAACGCTATGTTTCTGCTTGATACTTCTGAGGATGGTGAAATAGCAGATTATATCCCTGGAGATGGTTCTGATGGAAACGCAACATTTGCTTAAACAAATATTTTCTTTGGATTATTTAAATATTTGTAGAGACAGATATCATTAAAAAAAATCTTTGCTAACATAGATTCGAGCATTAAATGGCTTTTCTCAAATATTTTGAATATACAGGGTGTCCCAAGAAACATGACAGTTGGCTAATAGTTTAAAATGTCTTCTTCCATAATTAGTTAAGTTGTTTAATACTAAAGAGAATAATGAAATATTAAATAAAATATATGGAAGAAGACATTTAAAACTATTCACCAACTTTCATGTTTCGTGGGACACCCTGTACCACATGCCTGGCGTGCATCTTAATATCAATGGCAATATATTTTTATTTTGATATCTGATCAATGCCTCTTACAAGAACTTCTAAAAACAAATTCTTTAAGTCTTAAATGCACTGTGTGTTGAATTAGTCACTTTATATATAGTAAGTGTGCAAGTTTAAGTTGAAATAATAAATTGCTAAAATCCTCAAATGGAAACTAAATGGACGTAATTTCAATTGACTCTTATTTTGAAGATTGGCATTTCCTATTTCCAACGTATACCCTTGCGCGTAACCTTAATCAGATCAAATATGAATGAGATATTCTTCTTTTACAGTTACTCGCACATTTATGATGGAGCTACAATGAAAAAAATTTGTAAGAATTTGATTGTTCTCATCACGGAAAGATTAATATCATCTTCATTGGTGTTACTGAGACATTGAGTTTTAAGAATACCGATGTAAATGGGCCAGTCTAAAAATGAAGGGTCCCTTAGAATTTCGTTTTAAGTTCCTTTAGAAATTATTTTTGATTCTTATTTTATTTATTTTTAATAATTACTTTTAGCCTTAATCAAGAAAAATGTGTGATAAAGTTAATATATGAAATGAAATGAAATCATACTGAAGAATGTTTTCATGATTTTTTAAAAATTGTTTGACAATTGAAATAAAGCTAAATGAATTAACTTTTGTTTCATTAGTGTATATCAAGTAAACAACCTGAGGTAGAATTATTTTACATATGGGTGTCAATAAATGTGTACTAGAAAATTGTCACCATAAAACGAAAATCAGATACCAAGGTACTAATGCAACGAAAGTTAATTGTGGTCGCGTATACTCTAAGTACATTTTGAAACCAGTTCTCTCTGTGCGGACATTGTAAACAAGAATAGATGCATCAGATCTACTCTAACCTTTCTCCGATCAGATCAGTTTTACTCTAGTATCCGAGGAGGTTAAAAACATTTTATTTTTATAATTTTGAAAATTCACATCATAGTTTCCTATGACCAGAATATTTCATAGATTATTTTTGTGAACATGGATTCCATGTCAGGCTCTTACATCCGTCTTGTGTTTACGTTTCCGCCCAAAGACAGTACACTGCAGTGCGAAAAATGCGTACACCTCTGAAATAACTTTCCTTGCATTACAACCTTGATCAGATACAAAGTACATGAGGTCATATAAACGGTGTACCAGAGATTGCAGCATCAGCGTCCAGATTTTATTAACCGGACAATAGAAACTAGACATCAGAAACTGGATGTTAGAAACAGGACATCAGAAACTGGATATTAGAAACCAGACATCAGAAAGTGAATATTAGAAACTGGGTATTAGAAACCGGACATCAGAAACTGGATATTAGAAACCCGACATCAGAAACTGAATATTAGAAACCGGACATCAGAAACTGGATATTAGAAACCGGACATCAGAAACTGGATATCTATAGAGACGGGACATCAGAAAGTGGGTATTAGAAACCAGACATCCGAAACTGGATATTAGAACCTGGACATCAGAAACTGGAAACAAAAACGAAACTATTGTGCTACAAATTAACGGCAATCTATGTTCTCTTTTCTGTTTAAATTTGCATGAAATTTCAAAATATTTGATTGCTGTTTTCTGTTTTCCCCCTGCTTGTTAAATGAATTATTGAATTTTTTGCATTTTGATATTTTTTTTTTATGTTTTTATGTTTTTGAATTTGTTCAAATATGTGTGCATGAAATAATCGATAACGGCTTGAATTCTATTCTAAAATATCTGCCGTTAACGTCGTTAATATTGTGATCCTTAACAAACGGCAGCTGTTTAAAGTAACGGAAAATACCGTTGACGAGACGAACTGTCCGTTTTATACAAAAAAACGAACGGCTGCCGGAAATAAAAAAAAACAGTTTACGGAACGGCTGGCATGAAATCCAGAACGTGCCCAGCCCTAACATATGTTGCACAGTACATTTATAATGCAGTACATGTACACCCTATATTTACACTGTTAACAATAAATGCAATGCTTTATTAAAATACAACTTCTAAAGCATGGAGAGAAAAGAAAATAAACATTAAACATGACCCCTCATAATCGACCACTGATAGTTTGTTTCAAAACTATATTTATGAGAAGATTTCAAATGTCGTCCTACAACTATAAATAATCAATTTNCCTGGGAACTACTAGTAGTATGACAAAGGAGTGACTAGTAGTATGACAAAGGAATGACTAGTATGACCTATGAATGACTCGTAAGACCAGGGAATGACTAGTATGACCTGGGAATGACCGGTATGACCAAGGAATGACTAGTATGACCTGGGAATGACTAGTTTGACTAGGGAATGACTACTATGACAAAGGAATGACTAGTATGTCCTGGGAAATACTAGTATGACCAAGGAATGACTAATTTGACTAAGGAATGAATAGTATGACCTGGGAATGACTAGTATGACCAAGGAAAGACTGGTGTAACCTGGGAATGACTAGTAAGACCAGGGAATGACTAGTAGGACCAACGAATAACTAATAAGACCAGAGAATGACTTGTATGACCTAAAAATGACTAGTATGACCTGGGAATGACTAGTAGTATGACAAAGCAATGACTAGTATGACCTAGGAATGACTAGTACTATGACAAAGGAATGACTAGTAGCAAAGGAATGCCTAGTATGACCTGGGAACGACAAGTTAATAAACTGGGAATAACTAGGAAGACCATGGGAATGACTAGTATGACCTGGGAATGACTAGTATGACCTGGGAATGACTAGTATGACCTGGGAATGACTAGTATGACCTGGGAACGACAAGTTAATAAACTGGGAATAACTAGGAAGACCATGGGAATGACTAGTATGACCTGGGAATGACTAGTATGACCTGGGAATGACTAGTATGACCTGGGAATGACTAGTAGTAGGACCAAAGAATGACTAGCAGTATGACCAAGGAATGACTAGTTTGACCTGGGAATGACTAGTAAGACCAGGGAATGAATATAGTATATATCAAGGAAAAGTAAAGGATACTGAAGATTGTGATTGATGTGTATGAATTGTGTTTAAACTTTGAAGCTGTGGGCAGACTGTCAGAGACCAAGGGGTGTCCCAGAAAATGGATTTAAAATTTGTACAATTCAAAATAAAAGACATAATTGAATTTTAAAGCACAGTTATAAATTTTACAGTACTTGCGTAATACACTTTTGCCTGATTTTTAAAAGTGTTAATTCAACTTAGATAATAAACTTATAAGATGAACAATTTGTAATGATCAAGAACATCTTGACTTCTGTAAAATGTTTTCACTAAAATTATTCAACATTTCGATTCCGGTTTGGGAATGGGAAAAAACTGTTTTGGTTTCTCCTACAGAACGCTGGTGATGAAAACCTTTGGACGTATTATATGTGAATATCAATCTGTATTTGATATAAAAACTTTATGTTTTTAAAATATCAAAGGTCCACGGCATCGGGTTGCAAACATATCGGGATTGAAATTTTAAACAATATCATTTGTGGCAAAGACTCAATTCATTTTATAATTTTCTCGTTTTACGAAATATAACAGTATATACTGTATAACAATCAAAGCATGAACAAAGAAAATCTAAACTGTTGCATACGAATCATCTATTAGATTACAACCTCCCTGCAACTATGTAACTTGAAAACATCCCCCAATTCTCATCACTCCTGTATGCCGAGTCCATTAGCACCTGATCCAATCAGGGTTCAGTCACGTGTTTGATGTCTATTCTGAACCAATAGAAATAGTTTGGCGGTAACATCTATCTTCCTATCTATCTCATTATCCAATTAGCGCTATCAGAAAAGGAAATATTTACTTCTACTGAAACTATAATTATTGGGACACCTTGTATTTAGATATATATTTATATAAAATATGATGTTTGGATAAATAGCCCTGAAGAAACTGATAACAGGATTCTGGCCCAATATTCAAATATTTTACCAGAATATAAAGGATATAGCAGATAGGTAGATATATATATATATTATATTTATTATATTTATAGATATATAGATACATATAGATAAATAAAACGTGAAACATAATAATGAATAGTTGATTTCTTTGTCAAATTAAAATCTGAAGTTAAAAAATGAAAGATTTATATAAAGTTGAATAGATAAAAATCACGCCTAACCAGTGTACATTTGAATATCCGAGCTGGACCAACCTGTGCAGGCCTGCAGGACTGTACTGGACCAACCTGTGCAGGCCTGCAGGCCTGTACTGCCAATTTACAATTACTAAAGCGACAGAGGAGTGTGATAGATTTGATCTCAAAGAGTTTGTTTACATTCTCTGTAATCATGTATTAGAACAATTTTAGAACTAGTTTTAATGTAAAAGAAACAGCATTTATAATAAACATTAGCTGAAGCTGATGAAGTGCCCGGCGTTCAGGTTATAAATAAGTACTGCACACACCAAACTAAAGTAAATTGAACGTTTATTGAAATCGTATTGTTTTCAATTAGAACTCCTCTTAAATTGAAGAATTATTTTTAAAAAAAGTTTTGAATTTCTAACAGGCAACCAGATAAATTCATTTTTCTCATTCTGGTGAGTAAAATCAAAACGTGAGAAGTTATGAGTTTACTAGCAAAGTCGAATGAACTTGACCCAACGAGGTTATAGTGTATAGAGTGATGATGAACGCTGATCCTTTACTAATTGTATAGGCCATGAACTATACCTAGAGCGTACTGCATATTTGTTTATTATAAGTTGATTCTGGCCTAACCTATAGTATATCAATATTAGTAAACATTTGTGAGTGTACAGTACTGCAGCTAACTGAACACACAGGTAGAGAACTATCATCCCGCCTAATTTTAGTTCACA